CACACACACACACACACACATACATACATACGAATTCATACCCGTCGGATCGTGACCACTTTCACGTTCGACTGTGTAAATATATTTCACTCCGCGGACGGTCGGTCGGAGAAAGAAGGGGGAGGGGATGGTGGAGAGAAAAACGATCGAACACACAAATCTTACGGTAATACACACTCGTACGCAATATACAGTAATATCGTGAACGGACGTTCGATTCCGCACGTATTCGTAGGTATCTACCGACCGACCGACCGACCGACCGACCGGCAACCGCCTTACATTCCATCCGGTCGCGCGGTAGTGGGACACGCGGGCCCCGCCGACCGAACTACGTAGTGCAGTCGTCTCGTTTCGGAAGAACTCTCACTCGTCCTCGAGCGCGTCGCGTCCGCGTATAATATAATATTATATTATTATTATTATTATTATTATTATATATATATATATATATTTCTTTCGGTCGGCGTTTAGAAAGCAATGGTTGTCTGCGCGGGCAGGACGAGTGCACGACCGAAGACGGCCGTGCTGCGACGAGACCACTACCGCTGTGGGTCGCGACCGTCATCATTGTTCGTGCCGACGTCGGACGGGAATCGTTACTGATACAGTTCGCTGGCAACGAGATAGGTTCGCGGGACGTTGTAAGAACGATATTGCAAATAAACGGCATTCGTACGGCGATGACGAACGGCCGTCGAGCAGTGTAGTGCGTTTCACTCGGGCAAAAGGTGGACGACCACAGTGGCGGCGACGAACGCCAGCGAGTAGTGCAAACGTCGAGTCCGCCAAAGAATCTCGGAACACCTGACGACCGTGGCAATGACTTCGGACCGGTGCAGGTGACCCGGTGTTGCGGGCGCAATGGCCTCGTTGATAACCGGCGCCATCAATAGCGCCGCATGGACCGGGGCCGGGCTCATACCCATCGTGGTCGTCGGTCTGACGTATCTCCGGTACTCCATGTACGACCCCGAATCCCGGGTCGTAGACGTTCACGAGGTAAGGATTTCGTGCCGTTTTCAAATATCGTCCCTCCCGGTCCGGTATCACAATATTCCAGAGATCCACCGAAACGGATTTCAAATCGCGTTTCCATTCATATCGTCGGTTTCAACACCGGTTCGAGAACCGTCGTCCCAGCACAAATAGTTTTTTTTTCGTTTCGCAAGACGGCTGCTGTACCCGTCGTTTCGATTTGGCCGTAGACAAATGTATTCTTTTCCTTTTTTTCCAACATTACATCTCGGTGTGTAAAACGCGTTCCGTATGAAACGTTTAAAACACGCGATGAACGTTATTGGTTATAGAACACTTCTTAGACCACAAATAATTTAATTATTACACCCTAAACTTATAGATGCTATACATTTAAAACGGAATAGGAATATACCTGAGCTAAGCTGGTTTTCACTTTTCGGCAACGTTTAAGTGGTTCGATTTGGTCAATGTAGTTGTGACTGAAAATACATTGTCTTGGATTACACTGCGATTGTTTTTTCGCAAATCATTTTATTTTTCATTATAATTTTTTATTACATTCGTTTTACCGCCCAGTTAACATACTTAACTATTATTCGCATGAAACGAAAATAATAAACCGAAGATTAAGGTCTAAAAATATCAAATCACTTTATCCTGTAGCCAATTCGAGGGTACCTCATTCCAGCAGTGTTCTGTAGTGTACACTTATAATGAATACAATAGATTATAATGACGCTGTCATCGTGTTTTCATATCTAGTTTTCAAATATAAAGATTTTTTTTGTTATCTTTTTTTCATTTTATTGGCTCCGTGATATTGAAAATAAAGCAATTTTTTCTTTTTTCGGTTCGTTGATTTATTTGATGTATGGGAATGAGGTTGACTTTGTATTATTATTCTTTATTAGTTGTTAATAATGTGCATACAACAATATAATATTCGAATCAGATTCATTTAAAGGTCAATAACCCTTTCAAATGTATTTGTAGGGTTGCTTCTATAAATCGAATAATAATTTTAAATATTTATGATTTCCAAGGGCTATATTTTATGACCATGAAAACGTAAACTATATGATTTTTAATAACAATACTAGCAAACCTCATGAACACGTTATAATTATCAATATTTATTACCATTTATTCAACGATCTTTTATTATGTAATATATTCATACATTTTTACTTTATACAAAAGTATTATTCTTACTATAATATTTTCTAAATATGGTGTAAATATACTGTATAGAAATTCGTTGTAAAAGTTGGTTCCGTAAACATACGAAAGTTGTTATTATTACATATATTTACTAATATAGTCAAGATTTTTTAGTATTTTCCATTTAATAAAACCGGTTATTTTACAATATACTTTAATAAAAATTTTAGTTATGTAAGATAATGATTCAAAAACAGCAAAAAAATAATAAATGTATAATTCTCGTACAACACCATAATAAAAAAAAAAGAATAGAAAATGTGTAAATATGGTAATCACTTAATCACATTAAAAGAAAAATAAGAAATTTATAATTTAACCAAAATATATTAATTACTTAGTTCTATTATATCATTTTATTTTTATTATTAAATATTTACTGGTGTATGTATAATTTACACGTTACTATATTAAGTATAACAATTTTATTTACTTGTAAATAAATTACCTGAATTATAAATCAAAAAATTGTTTTTGTTCATTTGTGTGTTTTATTTATTTTTTTTTTTTCATAGTCTTTATAAAAAATTTAAAAATCAGTTTGATATTTTCACATAATAAAGCATTAACTTTTAACTTGTATTTATATTAAATGGAAAAACTAATTTCCATATAAAAAAAAAAGAAAAAGAAATAAAAATGTAAGAAAATTATGTAGAGCAACACGGAATATTAGCTTCATTAAACCATGGACACAAGTTACGTTATGATTTCGTAGGAGTTTTTTTTATCAATAAGGAAAACTTATATACTCATATATTTGCACAAAAAAATCATTAATATAACTAAAAAAAAAAAAAACTGAAAATGAATGACGAAATAAAAGAAGTCGCTTATTAGCACTATCTCACATACAAATTAATATAATTATATTACAGTTTACCTTATTTAACATGGGCCATATTTAATCCCTTATTCTCGATATATAAGGTCAAAGTAATAATAACAAATAAATATGTATACAGTGATACTTATCTAAAATGGAATATTTGTTTACGTTTCATACGATTCCATCGCAGTTAGTTCTCACTATACATCTCTTAATTTTTGTTTTTTTTACCTTAAGTTTTACTTTATTAAAGTAATACATCTCGAATCTAGCTTAGTTTTAAATTGCATTGAAATTCATCTAAGAAAACATTGTAAGGTATAGTTTGAATTAGAGGATTAGTTTAGAGGTTAGAGCGTTTGATGTAAATGTATGTGAAAAAGTTTAAATATTAATAAATTTAAAAAATAAATTTTTTTTAAGTCTGTCGTATAGAATTAATTGATTTGTCACATACCAAAGTGGCACCAACAATGATACAATAAATTATATTTTTAAATTACTGAATATGGTAGATGTTTTGGGATTGACGTTTAAATACTACAGGAATGCAAGGATACGCTCAAACCCTGATTAACTTTGAAAAAGTGCTTATGGTTTAAAAAATTTAATTTCCTAGAAAAAAAATACTACAGTATAAAAAAAAATATATATAAAATATCCCAGACAAACTCTAGAGCTAAAACAATTAAAGGATAAAGTCCTAATAAACCAATTTTTCAGTTAAAAAGTTATCTGGAACTCCTTGTGATATCGTTATTTAAAATATCTTAGATCTCAGTTTGAGTTACGATGTAAAATTTATCTGTCATTTTTATGAAATTTTATAAGGGAGATTTTCAAGTTATAAATAAAAATAAATATTTTTTTTATTAAATTTCATTACTTTTAGTAGAGGAAAAAATATCTAGGATTCATTGCTGCGTATGTTACTAAAAATAAATATTGAATAAAAAAATATATTTTTAAAATGTGAATTACATATCTTGTAAACGAACAGTTGTTTCTAAATCCAAATATAAATAAAACGGTTTTACATTTACTTATTTTGTAATATTTTATTCAAGAAAAGGTTTTCTTAGTTGATTAAACTTTAAATCAAATATATTTAGTAATTATTTATAAATAATGTGCAGTTTGATAATACATTAATTACCTAATAGATACTTAATTTTTGGTATGCTTATTATAAATAATTTTATAGCCAAACAAAAATTTTATTATCTCAATAATTATGTACACCTAATTAATATAGTTAATTATTAGATATTTCGAAAGTCTGAACCATATGATATTAAAAATAATTAAATATAGGTAGCTTAAGCGATGATAACATATTGAAATAACATAAAATTGATCTGTAAAACTTGTACAGTGTTGTACACCTTTAACAAGTGCAAATTTGTTTATTTATCATTAATATTTAATTTATTTTTAACTTACACAAATATAATATTGTATTATTCTTAGAAATACCAAACAACTGTTAATTGATAAATTATTATTTAAAGCTTTTCCACTATAGAGCGTTAAATTATGCAACAATTTCACCAAGTAATTTCTCTACTATATTTATAATAATTGTTGTAGTTGATAATTGGCCACTTGGGAAAAATTTACAATTAAAAATTTGGGGGAAAAACTTCTACTATTTGAGTGATAGCACAAATTATATTTTTCACCTTTTATGTATAATTTTGTACATTTTTGTAAAATAAAAAAGAAAATCGTTTTCTAAATTTAACGTTAAATATATTATATATAAATTTATATTTACTCAAACAATTTGTACAAATGGGATTAAATTATCCAATATTTTCAATGGACTATTAATTTATCTCATTAAAATTTAAATAGTATTTTTAAAATATATTCAAAGACCAAATTACTTTTTTTTTTAACATTGGATATAACTAAAATAATTAGATTGAAATTAAAGTTGGATTTGGTTTTTGTAAATTTACATTATATTATTATATAGAAATATTAATTTAGCGGTTATACTCGTAGTTGTAGTATGCAAGCGTTTACTAATGACACGCTATTATTTTAATAGTTATGATATACTGTTACACATATTTTTGTTGTATAATACCTCTTGATATAATAATGTCCTTATACGATATTAAAAATATAGTTGAATATTGTAATATTTATATCATTAAAATGAATATTTGACTTGACAACAATACATTCACTGAATACACTCGTTAGTTATTGTATTTAGAAAGTTAAAAATAAAATAAAATAAAATTATGCAATAATCAATAAATGTTTATGAAACTATTTGGTAAAATATAATTTTCGTATGGTTTGATAAAATTAATATATTTCACAAAAAGTAGAATGTATACAGTTATATATTATGCGAATACTGTATAATTATTATAGTTTATTCTACATTCATATTTTTATTAAATATATTATAACTATTCAGTGTTTTATTAAAAAATTATGATGAATAATGTTTCAATGGAATTTACTTTGTTTTTAACTTGATTAGCATTTAAAGTTTCAATATTAAATTCAATTATACTTGTAGTAGAATCGAACATGATATTTTTCTATTATATTAAATGACTCTTCATATTCACATACTCGTATCTATATTAATCTTCTACACTCTCTACACTGATTGCTGTTGCTATGTCATTAATACAAAAAGCAATGTTTGCCTCAGGTGGTCTAGGTTAATAATTAACGCGTTTCAACAATGAAAAAAAAAACCATGGCAAAGAGTTTGTTTCTCTGGTTTCTCATGCCGTGTTTTTGACTGTTTCATTGTTTTGATGACATTTAAATCAACAATCACACTAAATTACTAACTGTTTTAATTTTGATATAGTTGGTATTGAAACCCTAAACACATCAGTCTATATCAGACCTTTTAAATTAAATCATTTTCCAAAAATGTAACTTAGTATAATACTCAATTTTAGGCATAAATAGTTTTATATAATGTAACTTAAAGTTTTGTGATTATTTTTTATCTCATAGTTACAATCTTAATTGCATAATTAGATTCTAAAGGCTTGAATATTATTAGTTTGAAATATTTAAATGAAATTAAAAATGAATGTTGTATTGTACTATGAGATTTTGCTGGATACGATTTCATAGGTCGCCACGAGTATTGTTTAGTGAAACTTATTATGATTCTCTGTGAAGACTTTGAATAATAATATGCAAATTATATATTTTGATAAACAATAATAATTATAATAAATCACAAAAAATAGAAACAAAACTTAGCAATTAATAGTACGCATAGAAATTATTACACACTTTTTCTTTTTCACCTCCTTTTATATTTAATTGAGATAAACCAACCAATTGCACTACCACTACTACATATGTTTCGTACACACTGAAACTGTTCTCCTAAGACTCTATTACATTAAAACATCACTTGCTCCCTCTTTCGCTCTCTCTCTATCTCTCTTTTTCACTTCTTCTCATTTGCAATCGTTACACCATGCGTTTTATTTCATCTTAAATAATCTTTTTACACTTAATCGTCTCTTTGATGCATAAATATATTTTTTACGCATAACATAGTATGTACTACCTATTAGAGCGAATGATAAACACACGTTATGGCTTTATACTTTATTTTTCAGGTGCTTGATGAGTATGACTTCATTGTTGTCGGCGCAGGATCAGCAGGGGCGGTGGTGGCCAACAGGTTGTCGGAGATGCGAAACTGGACGGTGCTCCTGTTGGAAGCGGGAGGAGACGAAACGGAGATATCGGACGTGCCGTCATTCGTCGGCTATCTGCAACTGTCGGACTTGGACTGGCAGTACAAGACGGCTCCGCCATCCAGCGACAACCCGTATTGCCTGGCCATGGTCCACGACAGATGCAACTGGCCACGGGGCAAGGTTCTGGGTGGATCCAGCGTGTTGAACGCCATGGTGTACGTGCGAGGCAATAGGCGCGACTACGACCAGTGGGCCAAGGCAGGAAATCCGGGCTGGAGCTACAAGGACGTGCTACCATACTTCCTCAAGTCCGAAGACAACCGGAACCCGTACCTGTCGCGCACGGAGTACCACGCGCGTGGAGGATACCTGACCGTATCGGAGGCCCCATGGCGAACGCCACTAGCCTTGGCATTCATTGAGGCCGGACAGGAGTTGGGCTATGAGAACCGTGACATCAACGGCCGCTATCAGAATGGCTTCATGTTCACGCAGACCACCACTCGGCGGGGTAGCCGGTGCAGCACGGCCAAGGCGTTCCTCCGACCCATCCGGCTTCGGCCCAACATTCATGTTTCCATGCACAGTCAGGTGACCAGAGTACTGTTCGAGAACACCGGTAATGACCCCCGGGCCACTGGTATCGTGTACCTGCGGAACGGTAAGCGGCGCATGGTGGCCGCGCGCAAAGAAGTCGTGTTGGCGGCAGGTGCGATCGGGTCGCCGCAGCTGCTGATGGTGTCCGGGGTGGGGCCGGCCGACCATCTGACCGAGCTGGGCATCAAACCAGTGGTGAGGGATCTGAAGGTGGGCCACAACTTGCAGGATCATGTGGGTCTGGGTGGGCTGACGTTCCTCATCGACGACCCGATCACGTTCAAAAAATCTCGGTTCACCAACGCGCCCGTTGCCCTGGATTACATCATGAACGAACGGGGTCCGCTGACGTCCAGCGGCGTCGAAGGGCTGGCGTT